CCCCAAAACCCCAAAACCCCAAAACCCCAGCCTATAAAGATATGTAAGTGATCAGAGATATGATAAGAACTTAATAATTACTAATAATTGCTTATCTTTTAAAAGAAAAGACTCTAAAACCTATCAGATATCATCTATGCTATAAGATTTGATATTTCCAAGGAAATTTTTATTGCCTTGCTCTCTTTGCTGAACTTTCTATCTTTCATGCTATTCCTCTTGTCTCTTTTTCTCCTCTCTCTCGCCTTGAATTCTCTCCAGATCTTTGATTCTCTGGTCTAAATCCTTCATCTTTGTCTGATGACTTTCCTGTTTAATTTGGCTGTCTACTTTAAGAATTTCATGCCTCATGTTTTGGTAGATCTTGAGTCTTTTGTCTACCTCCTAGTGATCGTTATCATTGAAGTCATCCATGTCCTTAAGTGGAGAGGAATTCATTGCAGCACTGGCCTTGACCTGAGCCTTTAATTTAACTTTCTTGTCAAGTTCTAGCAGTTCTTTGTGCAAATCAGCCTAGTTATTAGTCTTTTACTTGAATTCCTCAAGTTCTTTGTCTCTCTTATCAGCCTTCTGCTTTCTAAGAAGTTCCTTTGTAGCCTAGAGTCTCTTTTTACGCTCTTCCATACTCTCCACTGTTGGTTTCTACTGTTGATTTTAAGATAACATTTATTCTGTTTTCTCTCTCTTTTCACGAAGCATATCTTGTAAACTTCTAGTATCTTCTTAAGTAGCTTAATGATCTTCGAAATCGTCGAATTCCTTGAAAGCATTCATCTTATCAATATTTTTTCTTTATTAATTAAGCAGATCCCCGTCGAAATCAAATCCTTGGCCTCCTCTTTTCATCTACACTGGGGGTAAATCAAATCCACTAGTCTATTGCTTTTTTACTTATGCCATTTACTCTACATGCTTTTTTACTTCTTCTTGTTAGGGTTATTTTTATGACTATGGCTTTGTCAGCTCTGGTTTTTATATCTTTGGCTAGACTTATATCTATTCCTTGATCGGGCTTTGTTTTTGTTCTTCTACTTTAACCTCTTATTTTATTTGTTACTTCTATACAGCCTAATCTTCTTGCTTTTAGTTAAGGAATTAGGCCTAGGTAGCTTGTATTTATTCTTATTCACTTTTCTTCTTATCATTCTCTTCTTTTAATTGCTTTTCCAGTCGCATTTTCTCCTCTTTTTCACTCATTTCCATGACTCTCTTAATAATTTCCTCCTCCTATTCACTTTCCATCTTCTTCTGTTCTTCAATCTACATAGAGATTTCCATTGCTTTTTTAATCATATCTTCCTCTGCTTTTTGCTCTTCTTCTGTAAATTTTCTTAGCATTTCTTTTTGTTCCTGAGTCAATTTGGCTTTAGGTAGTGTTTATTGTGAGGCACCTCCGCCAGTACTAGTAAAGGCTTGAGGCTCAGTTATGAATGTGTTATCTCCAGCAGCAGCTGCTTCCTTCTTTTGCAAGATCTTCAAAGCCTACTCATTAAGTTCTTGGTTTCTCTTGACCATAAGTTTTTTAAATGCAATGAAGTTCTCTACTGCAGTGATTTAATCCACGATTTTTTTATGCAAAGGATTTTCACTTGCTTTATCACAAGCATCATAGAATTGGTCTTCTGTAACACCTAGCTCACTCATTAATTCACCCAAGAGATCATCAACAATCTTTTTAAATGACTATGATGCAGTTAACCAAATTGTTGTGAATTACCATATGGATAGAAGTATACTCAAGTTTGTTTTCATCCTCATTGTCAAATATTAGACAATTATCATCTAGAAAACTCATAATCGGAGTCTTCCATCTTGGGGATCTCAAGAAATTTATTATGATATCAAAGAACCAGTCCTATTACAAGAATTTATTTAGCTAAAACATGTGTATATTATAGTTACATTATCTGATTCAGTGGCTGGTTGATTAGTTGTCTGTGAAGACATATTTGATTTATAGTCTGAGTTTAACTTTTAAATAAATTATATTAATTTGCTAAACTTGGAAATAACCTCAATAATGTTGATATGTCTTTGTGGGGTTTTGGGGTTTTGGGGTTTTGGGGTTTTGGGG